ATTCTATAGCAGTGAACAAGGTAAGAATTTACATGTCAATAGTAGTGAAATGGATTTTTAGGTGTTTGAAGAATATTAAGTATTATGATTTCTTGTTCGATTGTCTATTTAACAATGTGTCATGTGTTTATGTGTTTTCTATAATTAGCATCAAATTAGTATCAAATCTAGTTGAGTTAATCCTAGCTAGAACATAGGTTAGTTTCATTCTCGTCACAGAGTATAGTTGCTCGTACTCAAAGAAAGATTAGTTCTTCATGTTGAGCTTTTAGCGTTGAATAACTTTTAGTAAGTTGGCTATGGTGTCCCACTAGCACCGGCATGTAGACTTTGAATGTGGAATGAGCTTGGCTCAATTTTCATGTGAGGTTTTGTGATTAGTACTAGTAGATTTTGCACAAACTGTTTTCACTAAGATGTATTCAACTATGGACATAATCCAAGCGGCGCTAGATTTTGTCAAGTGTTACATTGATAATATTTTGATGTTTAACGACACAATGAAGCAACACAAAAATCATATGCAGATTGTATTTAAGCGGTTGAAGATTCATGATATGCGTTAAAATTCAGGGAAGTGTAAGTTCTTCCAGGATAATGTTGAGTGCTTGAATCATGTGATCTACCTAGGTGGTTTAGGAGCTCAGCAAGCAAAGATTGAGACTATTGCACACATAACTTGTCTGATAGATGTGAGTACAGTTCGTGCATTTATGGATTTGGCAAACTACTATCTAAAGTATATGAAGTAGTTTAGTGCTATAGCAAAGCATTTGAACCAGTTGCTGAAGTCGGATTAGGAATGGCAATTGAGAGATGAACAGGAGAGAGCTTTTGTTGAGCTCAAGAAGAAGTTGACGATCGCTCCCATTTTGAGTAGTTTCATAAGAAATGGTCTATACCAATTGAACACTAATTAGAGTATGTTAGTACTTGGAGCGATGTTGACACAACGTGATGATGAGGATAAGTAGTTTGTGGTTGCGTCTGCTAGTCATTCAAATAATGCAGCGGAGTTGCGGTATAGTTTGTGCAAAGGAGACTGTTTAGCAGCGGTGTGGGTTGTGGAACAGTTCAAGTGTTACTTGTTTGGTACACAATTTACTCTTGTTATTGATCACCAACCGCTCAAGTTATTGATAAAGTCTGACAATCTCACGAAAAAGCTTGCACGCCGGGCTATTGTATTACAAGAGTACAACTTTCAGGTGATGCATAGATCTAAAGTTGCAAACCTTGATGCTGATGGTTTGAATCGGATTTCATGCATTAGCCAAAAGAATGACATTGGAGCTAGATGACATGGTGTGATTGATGAGTAGATGGTGCTCGGTTGGCATGCAGCTCTCTTTCTTGTGTTTGTTACTTGGAGACGCTAGTAAGAATAACCACTTGACATCTTACTCTAGTCAAAGAGTGAATGACCAATCTTCAGATCTTGAGGTTGAAGATGGTGATATTAATCAACGTGATATTCACGATGATGCATTAGTATTGATGTTCATATGTAGCAGTATGGTGCCAAACATAATGAGTGCCAAAGAGCAAGATTGTGTTTTTCAGCAAATGAAGAGGTATCGGTTGGAGTAAACTTATGTTCCTTGAGTTTGGAATGATGGTAGGATACGAGTTGTATCACATCCAACTTCAAGAACACGCATTGTGCGACATGCTTATGAGAAGTTGGGACAATTTGAAATGAAGCGTACATACAATTTACTCCTTGATCATGTTTTGTGATCAAATGAGGGCATTGTTCAATGCCCCATCACTCAAATTACACCTCTTGCCTATCATGGAATTGGATTACTGATGGAGTGTGGACTTTGATAGATCATTACCTCTAACTTTACGATATCATCGATATGTGTTGATGATGGTGAAGCATTTCTCCAAGTGAATTGAATTGGTGACATTACCTGACGGGCCAAATGAGCAAGCAGCATATGCTTTCTTTGATAGGATGTTTAATCACTTTGGTGCACTAGCTGAGGTGTTGATTAATGAGGGTACAAAATTTCATGATGAGTTTCAGGCCTTGTGTGACAAGGCACTGATTGATCATTAGATCACATCTCGAGATTATCCAGAGGCAGATGGTTTGTTGAATGTGTTGTACATATGGTGAAGAGAACGTTGCGCAAGTATGACCTACAGAAGAAGCATTTTAGACACAGAGATATTCAATTATCATGGTTGGCCATGTGATATCAGTTCAGTCATCAAGCATTCTTGGCTTCCTTCTCACCATATCTTCTGTTGTACGGCTAGTATCCAAACTTGCCGACAGTGATTCATTATGAGTCTAGTGAGATAGTGAACCTTGATGACTCGGACATGTGAATGAGAGTGTGTTCTCAATGTGGATAGCTCTTTTGAAGAGTCATGACTGCAACATTTCAGAAGCTTGGAATTACTCAGCATAGGAATACGTTGTGATACGAAACTATCCGGAGAAGAGATATCAACCATCAACTTGTAGGTTCAGTATGGAAAACTACGTTTATTTACAGAAGACTGCACCGACTACAATGGATGTGACGGCGTGATGCACTATCTTGCGAATGCGAGAGATGTTATCTTTTGGAGTTTTTATGTTGGAGTATCGTGATGGTGTTGTTTAGAAGTATTATGTGCGCAATTGTGTGTCATGCCACCTTCCAAACGTGGATGGTACTATGGGTCCAATCTTGACAACATTGCGTGTTGGCTTGAGGTGCATGTTATGTGGATCAGCTGGTCAGACTGCCCATATGTTGATGTGTTGTAGATGTTCTAGGGAATTGCACATGTCGTGTTTGACTCCACCTATTTACATTGTTCTGGTTGGACGACGGATTTGTTCTCAATATACATCAAAGATGTAGATGATTTATTTTTCACATGTTATGAATTGCAGATAGGCGACTAACGATGGGGCGACATAGCATCTGGCTTAATGGTTTGCGCATCCATGAAGGTGTATTTCATGTAGTTGTAGTTAGGACTATCTAGGAGTCAGAGGTACCTGACTGCCAACTAGAGTACGAGTTGCGTTATATTGATGTACAAGTATGCTTTTGTTTACTATATATGTGTGAGAGTGTGGCATGTCACCGAAGTAGGTATGACAATACATATTTGCACGACAAATGTCAAATCCTTGCTAGGGTACTTTGATGCTGATTATGTACAAGATGATGAAAGCTGGTGATGAAAGCTGGAGATTTACTTTTCAAAAATACGTAGCTCATTTTACAAAGGAAGTTGAGTTTGTAGCAACAACAAAAACGGTAAAGGAAGCTAATTGATTAGATAGGCTTGTCACTAAGATGGGATTGAAATATGATGCAATTTTCATTGTGATAGTCAAAGTACTTTACATCTTGTTGCAAATCAAGCGATGTACAACAAAATGAAACACATGGACATCTGATATCACTTTATTAGATATGTAATTTCTGATAGAATGATTGAGCTATTCAAGATTGATTGTAAATTTAATTCAGCTGATGCGTTGACCAAAGTTAATATTTTAAAGGGTTTTAGGAGACATTGTATTACTATGTAGATTTTGCATGAGTAGCACATGTAAAGTTTACTAGCATTTAAATTAACTCTTTATATTATTACTCTATCATATTTTGGATATAGTTAAATTTTAGTGAACTTTAATTCACAAAGTCAACTTTTTTCAAATTTCCTTCTAGTTCTTGCTGCTGAATAATCATAAAGGCTATGGAGGTTCCTGTTTATTCAACATGAATTAAGGGGAAGATTGTTAGATTTAACACTAGTTTTGGGTTTAACTTGAGTTAGAGAGTCAACTTTAGTTAACATTAGTGAAAGTATTAGGCGCCATTATAATAGCGTGAAGGCAAGTGTTTTTTTGACTTTGAAACCTAATAATTAGTTAAGTTTTAGTAGCACTAAGTTGGCTTGAATCACATGTTGTGTCTCATGTACTAACATTCCCTAGTTTTTTGACTTGTTTATTCTATTGAACTCTATGCATTTAATTTTTTTAAGATTACATATTGCTTTATATTTTGGTTGTTGGACATGTTATGCACATTTTTGTATCAAATATTAAAGAGATTTTTCAAAAGATTAAAGAGAATTATGCGTATAATCTTTAAAAATATTACATGTTGCAATATATTCTATTGATCTTGGATCATGTGATTATGATTCATATCAACTACTTTCTTGAATAGCAATGGATTTTAGTCTCAAATTCATCATTGTACCTTTTCATCAGTGAAGTATAAGGTTGATCCAACTTTGGATGTAATTTGGATGCATAAAGCTTGTCATACAATCAAGTTAAAAATGTAAAGACTTGTGATGCAATTAGATGTATGTCGCTTTCTAGATAAGAGAATATGATTGTCTCACATGTTTATTTCTTGGTGATAGATGTACAAAAATTTTGGAGATAATATTACCTATGCTCTTGGATGCTCACCTAACAGAATTGCTGTAACCAAATTATCCAATTTAGAGATAGGAAGAGATGTCAGCTCATTGTTTATCCGCCTTTGTAGTACTATGAAGAGAGTATGATCAACTTCAATAGGTTTGTGGCAGAACGCTCTCAAGAGTATGCCATGCTAGATTGAGATGGCAATTGTTTGGTCTATCAGGTAGCCTCTTTTGAATATAATCTATCCAATTGTTGTATAGAGATATAACAGTACATGCAAGGGCAATTTATATATACTAAACATATCCCGTTTGTCTCAACCACAGTTGTGACAAACGGGATTCGTCCAGTACTGTATAAAACTTGATACCTCAGTTGGAGTACAAAATTAATGCCAGTGTTAATATTGAGGACTCGATGGGGAATTCCGAACCATGTTACTTTGAAATTCTCTTTCGTGGACACTTGCGCTGCTTGGACCGTTTTCAATGGGTCATTATTAAATCTCGAAGGAAGGCTTTACGGAGAATGGGAAGAGGCGGTCAGGCACCACAGATACTGGATAACCCGAGCTCTTGGAGGACCATGGATTCGAGCGGAGCGAGCGCGCTCCTCTTTTCGGTCACCGAAATTTCGCCCGAACGCGGCTCGTTTGGTCATCCTCGTGTTCGTGTCGATTTGTCGCGGAGGATTTCTGGACATGGGAGGCGGATTCTGATTTCGCCATCGATCGATCGATCGAGTGACAGAGCGAGAGAGCAAGGCTCGATTTTGATGCGAGAGGGTGAGAGAGCGAAAGAGTGACGATCGGTCGGTCGGTTCGTCGAGAGAAGAAGGCATGGCAGAGGTTCTGAGCTCGGGCGTGGCCTCTGCTCGCAATGTGGCTCCGTGCTGCTGCTCGTCGTCGTCCGCCCCATCGCCGCGGCCCTCGTCCCGCCAGCTGCGACGAATTGCGCTCAAATTGCACGGCTGCGGAGGATTGTCTGTGCGGAGGAGTCAGCCGCGCGTGGCTGGCGGCACTGCCGGAATGGCTCGAGCATCCAAGAACATGCTCGACGATCCTTTCGACTTCGGCGAGGACGAGGACCTGGAGTACGGCGATTTGATGTCGGAAGGGAAGCAGGGCGTGGAGCCTCCGCGGCCCCGCAAGGACAAGAACAGCAAGTATGGATTTCTGGACTTTCCGGGCTACCACAATCTGGAGATTGCGAGCTTGGGATTGTACGTGCGCAAGGACGTACGCAGGTGTTTGTGCTGGGTGGCGGGCGGCGTCTACGAGAATTTGCTCTTCTTTCCCGTGATCAAATTGCTCAAAGCCCGGTACCCTGGCGTCAAGGTCGACATCGTCACTTCGGCCCGAGGAAAGCAGGTGTACGAGATGAACAAGTATGTAAATAAAGCTTACGCCTTCGATGTCGATGCAGAGTGGGTCGAACCCGTCGAGCTCAACGAGTTTATTGGCGTGTTAAGGGTACATCTCTCTCCTCCTTCCTTCATATTCCATCAATATCTTGTGTCTGGGTTCGCATTGTGGGTTCGAATTCGACCTCCACATTGTCGAGTGTGAAGGTTTCGGTTTAATGACGAGTGTAGATAAGAGTAGCATCGAATCGAATGAAATCAAGTGGAAATTCCTCTTGCAGTTTAGATGCTGCCAGCAACAGCTGAACACCTGATAGCCAGACCTGTGCCTCTAGCTCTGCCTCTCCCTCCTCCCGGTTCACGTCTGCTCAGCTTTCTGGATTGCTCCTTCGCTTGAGCTCCCAAGGACCAGAGATTGATCAGCCAGTGCAGAGTATTCTCTCAGATTCGAAAGGAACTCGGCAGTGGAGATTAGCCGTCCGTCTCATACTTCAGCAGGTCGAAGAAGAGGAGAGATGGCTCTGTGTTGTAGCTTTATGCCATCCCTCTCGCAGTCGGTGTATGATTACCTCGTCTCTCCAGTTGCTTCTGAACGAGAAGAATGCAACGGGAATTGGGAGCGGCAATTGAAGGGCTTATGGATGGATCCCCAAGACTCACTGGTTGCTGGCAGATGCCCAGCAGAGAAGGAATGATCGATCGATCGGGCCTCTGACTCGACCGGGTGGTGCTCATGCAGGACCAGTACTACGACATGGTGCTGTCGACGAAATACGCAGGGTTCAAGCACTGCACGACGCTGTACATGATCGGAGGACGGACGAGACGCATCAGCTACGTGCTGCCGTACCACAGCGAGTGGGTGTCGAACTCGTTCCTCACGACGTCGCTCATGCCTCCCCGGGAGAATCTGGCGGACGGGGGATACCACATGTAAGTAAGGCTCCGACCATCTTCCAGGAAGGCATCGAAAGGGGCTGGGCTTGTGCTGCAAGTAGATTCCGGACAGAGAAAGGGTTGTGATGCCAATTTTGTTGCCGCAGGTACAAAGAGTTGATTGACTATCTGGCGCAGCCAGGAAATGGGGTCCCCGAGCAAGCGGTTCCGATGATGGAAGTCGGTGTCCCGAAGAGAGTCAGAGCTGTTGCCACGAGCAAGTACACGGAGGCAGGGGTCGAGGCCGGCAAGTTCGTCGTCTTCCACGGCGTCGAGTCAGATTCTGGAGCTTCCATGCAAACCAAGGGAGACTCTGACAGTCTGCTTCCCCCGGAATTCTGGGCAAAACTGAAAGCTTCGGCAGGGTATGCACTCATTTGGGAAGATATAGATCAATGACTCTCGACTTGATGCATCGTTCTCTCTTGATTTGAAAAAGGGTGAGCGAGTGAGTCAGTCGGCTTTGCCCATAAAATCAAAAGGTTTGGCTCATTGGTGGATTTCGCCCCTTTTTGTCTCACAGGACTAGCGTTTTGGTCGTCATACCGAATATGAAGGACAAGAAGAAGGTTATTGCCGCATGCGGAGATGATGTTCATGTCGTGTTTATCACAACCCCAGGCCAGGTTTGCTCTCAGGCCGCCAGACCACTGCAAGATTGTCGAGTGAAGTACTTCCATCGTATCTAAAGAGAATCAGTGAATGACGAATGCTAACGTGTTGCGCTTGGATTCATGGCAGTTGGGAGCGATCATAAGAGATTCCGCTGGAGTCGTGAGTACCAACACCGCGGCTGTGCAAATTGCAATCGCTTTCAACAAACCCAGGTGCACCCCTTGACCCGTATCTGCACTTTCTCTTCCCCTGGCTGCACACAAGCAGTCGGTTTGTCGTGGCAGGATTCCATCTCGCATTTTATTTTCAGTGAAAGAGATCCCCCTCAAGCAAGCAGGGTACCCATCTCTTCTCTTTGAGTTGGCAATGAGCTCTTCGTACGTAGCTACCATGATCGTGATCTAACCCAGTCAGTGTCAATCTAATCGCTTTTTCTTGCTGTCTGCAGTGTTGCAATCTTTGGATCTGACGAAAAAGCTTCCCTCTTCGTTCCACCTCTAGCCAAAAAGTGCAAGGTAGTGACATCGAAGACCGGAAAATTAGCAGACGTAGAGGTCGATGAAGCAATCTCTGCGTGGAAGTCCGCTTATTTGGGACAACTGGCTCTGACTGCCTAGATACACTATACAGTACTCAAACAAATTTTCTCACTTTCACATGTAATTTTACAAAAGCCGAAGGCTCGATCTCTTTCTGCTGTGAAGTAGAGCACATTCACTTCCAGTCTGGTGCAGATATGGGACCATACTATCTGTTGGCCTGGGTATAATCTGAATCCTGTCAAAGACTGGTTGGATTCAATGACTGACTCCAAGCACGACGTTGGCGGTGTTGCTCTTCTGCTTCTGGTGGCCAAAAGGTCACATCACAGCAAGTGAGATCTCATTTCCAGGTGCTTGATTACTTGAAGCTCGCACTGCTGTCAGTGAACGAACGGTTTCCCAACTAGCCGAGGAGCTTCTTCAGCACCAGGATCATGCCGGAAATGGATCTTAGACCCAAAGAATACACCAGCCATGGTAGCACAACGTTCGAGCAAGTCTCCATTATCAAAACCAGGGCATGGATACTGCCGTACTGTCAACTGTCGCATGTGAAGTGGAATCGATCCAAATGTCACCTTAGAGAACAATGAGTCACACGTTTGGATGTGTAGGCTATGTAATCTCGATCCCCTATGTGCTGACAGTCAGTGACCGGATACGTGCTGATAACGATAAAGAGTGCAGCAAAGAACATATAAGTAAAATAAAGAAAAGTCGAACCATATCGATGTACCATTGTAAGTCTATCTAAATAGACACATATCACAGCCACATATTGCTACTTACAAGTTTTCTGCAGATTGCCGTAGGTAGAGATCAAGCCTGTTACACGACAATCTTTGTAGCCCAACATCTGACGTGAGAAGGGATTAAAAACTAACGGGTTAAATAGTCTACTTTCATTTGTAAGATGCATGCCATTTTATCCTTGTACATCGAGGTTCAAGCAATAATCACCTTTATGAATCTCGATTATAGACATCAAATGACATCAACTCATTTTTCAAGTAAGATTAATATCTGTCCATGATTGGAGTATGTAGCCGTCAAACGCTATTCGGTTAACTTACGAGAAATGACTGTTCCTCGTGTGAAGGAAAAAAAGTCGATCTAAGATCTTGCTTGATGGTATCAAACAAGAGGCATTCATGTGCATATCCGATAGTTTCACATCCCTCTCCAGCCTTATAGTAGAAGTTTATGTCATGATTTGCTTTGAGTTAAAGTTATGAAATGTTAGACTCTGATCTAGTATTTCTTGAGAAGAAGATTAATGTTCACATAAAATGTGATGTTTGATGTCATTCCTTTCTCTTTTTCCAAGGCTTGCATCCATCCATCCATATGCACATGTAAAGAAAGAATTGAGGAGCAGTGTACATCTAAACAACGATGTGGGTGAATACACAGGAGGAGCAAATGGTTTGCTAACTTCTCTGCGGCAACTGGGAGCCAGTGTTGCATTGTCCGGATTTGTGGTCAGTGGCCTGAAAGTCGGGTGGTTAGAGTTTTCTCTATCTGTAGATTTGTCCAGTTGGAAATGTATTTTCTGTATTCTTTGTGTGTAAATCTATTTTCTGTAGATTGCAGAATCCATGTCCACTGCGTTAGTTTAGTGGGAGTGACAGTGGTCCAGGAAACTGTTTTGCACCATGTTTCTGGATAGTGGACGATTGTTGATAGCTCCGACCTAAAGATGGGCAATGGCCTGGCTCGATTACAGACCTTCATTCATAGGTGAGGCTGCACCAGCGACGAGTGCCTTGGAATTGTTGACGATAGATTGTCGAATATCATGGATAATGTGATACATTTTTTCATTCTTCTGAATCAATCATGCATGCTAACATCATCACATTTTCACTTTTTTTTGTCAGGTTTTTCCTTCTGAGGTAAGGATGGATATTGTTCACAGCGAAATGTACGTTTCGATAAAGATTTCCATCTTGTAATAACCTGGTGAATGTATTTCATCTTGGAAATATATGTGAATATTCACAGTATTCACGACACTTTTGATGCGCCGGTGTGTAAACAGGATTTGGAGGTATATTCTAGTTTATTTGGAAACATTTAGAGATTGCAAGTAAGTATTCTCATGCATCTCAACGGGTTGGAAACGACTTTATCGTTCATAGGACAACCCACGACATGTGAGACATGTAAGCCAATACCAAGATTGTGACATGAAGTTGACATTATCCATCTTATTTCTTTCATAACTTCGAACTTTCCGTCTCGACCAATTACGCAAAGAAAACATTTTAAGATTAGAATCGATGAGGAAATACGAAATCAGAGGATTTGGATGATATTTGTAGACTACTCGAGGACAAGCGAATTTTGTGAGAATCAGTCTTGAAATCGTGATTCACCAACTCAGCCAGACATACCATAGTCTTCCATGTCATACCGTATGGTATGACATGGAAGGTATACCTTGTCATACCCATGTGATACCATACGATACGACGGTAGTCCTTTAGAGAGATCCTAAGGCCAGAAGTAATAGTGACAACAACGAGACTTATATTCCACCTCAAAATCCATATGCTCAACACTGACCTTTGTTACGATACAGAAACTCGTGAAATGAAAGCCAATTCATTTGATTCAAAAGCTATTCACAAAGAAAAAACCACTGCTGTAAGATGAGTGTAACACCTTCCGGCATTAAAAAGAAACGCGACGTCCACTGCTGCTAAGCAAATGATGACCATACTTGAAAAGAAACTTGCGCAGCCTGTGCTGAAAATCCTTTGTTGATAAAGAGTTAAAGCGGTGTGAGGCATCTGCCGATACCAGCTGCTTAATAATATGGCAAAGGCAATTACACCGAAACATGAATGATGGAGAGGTACTGCGTAGTAAGAAACATCTGGCAATTGGCATGTAAACATTCTAGATTTCTCTGTAACTCCCTTGCGAAACAATGTACGAGTTATTCCTAAGAGTATCATTACAGACTTCAGTCCCCCACGGTGCGAGACCGACTAAAAGAAAAGGTCCTGCCAGCAGTTAGCAGTCCTCCTATCAAGAATATGAATTTAACAGTGCCTCTCAAGCCAGAAATTTTAGTTTCTAACAAAACTTTGGCTGCGGTATCAACCCAAAAAACCATGAAATTGTCTCACTGTGGCATACGCCTTCGACAAACCAGAAGGTCTGCAAATTGGTTTCAAGTCTCCCTGCGTGATTTTCTCTTCTGGGCTCCCTGTGACTCACCCTCCTGTGCAATCTCGCTGCTCGTCTCAGTGGCTTGAGAGGCATCAGTGGGATCGTCGGCGGTAACAGTATCTTCCTTCTTAGCGATAGCAGCCGTGTCCTGTAGACATCAGGATGAAAAGTTACAGCATCAGTTACAGAATACACCATGTGGCACAAATGCAAGATATGGGGGCCACAAGAAAATTGCAAGCTCACAAATGTGAAAAAGACAAACATGAGTGAACTTCTACTTGTCCCGACAAGTATGCGTTCAATCACATGAAGGAAAATCAGGCAACTGACCTTAGCCTTCTTCTTGCCACCGCACAGGAGGCTGTAGAAGATGACCAATGTGATGGCAATGACACCAAAGAGACCGCCGATGGTCAAGTTTTGGTGCTTCTCAGCTTCACCAAGAATTTCCTGCACCATACAGCCCAAAGATCCATCAGTCACGTGCATGTAAGGATTCAATCCATAGACTAACTCGGCCGATGGTGCCAAACTTAGACAATATCATGACGACAATCCGAAGTTGTTACTCTTCATTCACAAATACGTAAATCAGCAAATTGTTCCACGGAGAAGAGCAATGTTTTCTTACAATAAGCTTGTCCTTGTAGGCAGCCAAGAAAGAGAGTTCCGGGATTTGGTACAAAAGCTCAAAGATCTTCTCCTGCAGGTATCACCCGTGACCATCGTCAGTCGAACTCTTGACGATAAACACACTAGATAAAGGACATAACGGTCCAAAATAGTCAAAGAATGATCGATGAACAAGCCTAGGACAAATTTTGTGAGGCTTGAACCCCCGATTGTTTTCGACCCGATCCGACGGAGAAGCTTGGAAAAGCAATGCGTACCTTGAACGAGTCTAGAGGACCGGGGGTATCTTCCTTTTCCTTCTCTTCTTCCTCAACAGCCTTCGCCTTCTCGGCATCGAATTTGACTTTCCAGGTCTTCTCCCTGTATTGCTTGGCTTCCTCTTCGTCGTGTGTGACCAAAATGTTGTCGAACAAAATACCATCTTGCATGGTCCAGATCTCAATACCAATGGCAGCAATGCTTTCCAAGTTGGGCTTCTCCAATTCAAAGTAATCGGGGTTGGGGATTTCTTGTGGCTTCCAGATTCCCTTGTATGCGGGGTTGTCGATCAAAGGAGCCGACCACTTGCCCTTGTAGGCGGGGTTCTTCTTCGTCGGACGGACCCACTCACCGCATCCTGGAGCTTCCTCACACTTTGGGTTGGGCACCTGAGGGGCTTCCCACTCACCATCTTCCTCATCATCCCAGTCCTCGGGCTTGGTGGCCTCGGGGTCATCAACTTCATCGGGCTCATCATCCAACCATCCCTCGGGCTTCACGGCTTCGAGGTCCTCAATCTCTCTAGGTGCCGACTCATCCCAGTCATCAGGCTTGGTGGCTGAGGGATCTGAGATTTTGGCACGCTCGTCCCAGTCCTCGGGCTTCTTATCCTCAGGGTCGGGGATGGTCTTGGATGGAATGACGGCGGGGTCGAAGTCGTTAGACAAGAGATCAGCGGTCTTCTGCTCCTCTCCGTCAACCAAGATCTTGACAGTGTTGTTAGAGTAGATCACCGCGGTGTACACATGAGAGAGCTTGTCGCCGATAGGGCTAGGAGGAGACTTGAGGTGGTGTTCCACGTATTCTCCGGTCTTGGGGCTCTTGTGACGGAAAATGAAGTGAACCTTGTTGGTAGACCCACATTTGTCAGGTCCAAACATGATGGAGTACGGAGCTGAGTTGTCGAACTTGCTTGGAGTCCATCCTGCTTCCTGAGGTAGAAGGTACTTCAAGTATGCTCCACCGCATTCGAGTCCAGACTGCAGTCGCAGATCATACTGCAACACAACTGTACCGTCCTTGAAATCCACTTGCTTGGGCAAGTCCACGGCAATTCCGTACTTTCTTGCCTTCTCACTCACGAGCAGACCGTAATCCTCATGCCCTTCACTCTTTTCGTGTTTCCACTTCCCTGCGCATTCAGTGAGGTTGTGAGTACGTGGCCCCGGCGTGGACGGGAATACTGCGGCAAAAGGATTAAGTGACAACAGCTCGTGCTTTCACACCAAACTTACAACCGGTTCAGACTACGAAAGGAGCCTACATAGATAGCACCGCAATGCAAGGAGACATACCTAGGTACTCGCTGCTCTCAGACACAACCCATCGTCCTTCCCAGGACGACTCAAACGAGTCGTAGAACACCTGTATCAGATAACAGTAACCGTTAGCCTCCCGGGAGTTGTGCAAAACATATGGCTGAAGCCGCAAACGAAAAAACTATCTCACCGAGTAGAACACAATTCGCAAATCGGGCGCTTCGACGAACCGGTTGTAACGGGTAGAGAACGATGGGAAGCCATTAAACGGAGAAAGAAAGGGTATTCTTGGCACAACCACTTGCCAAGGTAAAAGAAGGTACTCAGAAGGGAAAACAAGCCTGGCACCGTCTAGTTAAAGAAGACGGCGGGAGTAGACTATCATCTGCCATATCCACTACAGATGAACTCTGGCCTTTAGCCAAAGATTGCAAGGCCTAACAGTGACCGAATATTGCGCTTTCACAACCCGACCCTAACTCTCGCTAAGAAGCAAATCGCAGATACGCCTGTTCACGTTTCTCTATCTTCAGAGGTAGTTCCTTCACTGCGCACTCGTGCAGCAACTCCTAGAAATCAGGTGCACATGGCAGAGAAAGAAATCGACGTTTCATCTTCCCAAGATCTAATTTCCCATCCCTTGGGCAAACACCGTGGCCAAATCGACCACAATTGGGAGCTCGAAAGACAGCGATCTCGATGGACCGGAGCCCGGGCTGGCATGCAGATAAATCTGAACATTTCTCAATCCGCTACCCTAAAGTTTCGGCACAGAGCAGGTCATGGCGGACTTCCGCCGCAGGTCCAGTTTTCCAGGCTCCGGTTTGCCAAAAAAGATCTCCCACTTCACCGATCGAAAGAGCTGAACACTCCTAGTCACCTCGAGCTAACGACCAGCTAATCTAACGAGCCTCCAGCGCCTACCTAAGCCCTCGGCGTCGAAGCCCACTTCAAACCTCACATTGTCACCCGACCCAGTTCCTCACATCCCATCAGCGCCGACCGAAGCTCGACATCGTCGACGACGGCTGAGGGACCCAACACCAAAGAAAGACCAAGAAAAGGCGCGGACGGGCGAGTGGGAGTGGAGATGGAGTACTCACAGTATCAGCATCTGCAGCCACAAGGACGGTGACACAAGCGAGAAACAGCAGGCCTCCCAGCAGCCTGGCCCTAGCCATGATGTCCAACGTTCGAAAGCCAATCCCGTGGTCAGATCGATCGATCGCTCGATCGCACAAAATTGGCCCTGGCCTGCTGCTCCCCGCGCTCCGCTTCCTTCCTCCGCTCTGCCTTCCTGCCCTGCTTGCCTTGCTCTGCTGCTGCTTGTGCGCTATGTAGGGACGAATGCCCCGAACCCTCGAACCGACGAAGATCGCTTGTACAGGGACTCGCCGAGCCCGTGCGAGCAATAAAAGATTTGCCCCCCTCCTGCGCTCGCGTCTGCCGGCGATCCCCGCCCTAGAAGCCCGACCTTGCGGGCAGCCCCGCCCGGGCAGCACCGTTATGCCACCGCTGACCCCCGCGACTCGCTCCGACGCTCCCTCATTAGGTCACTCCGCCGGCGTCTCCCACTTCGCGACCACTTCCGCCCCGCTTTCGCGTCGTCGGCCTAAACTGGGGGTGGAAAACCCCGATTTCATCGAAAATAATTTCGGGTTATGAAAACACCTGATTTCCACAATGGTTTTAATTTTTTGTGTAAGAGTATTGAAAGGGTTGCATTGGGAACTTTCACGAGTTTTTTGTTCGGAGCGATGTTCAGAATTGTTTGACAGCCAAGAAGCTACGTTCCACTTCCCTGGAAATTGACACTCATCTCCATTATTAGCCGCCTTGTTCAAGCTAGGACATGAACCTAGATCAGTCACTGCCCTTTCATCCTGGTTAACTCCAAAACAATCTAGTATCTCAGGTTCAGTAGAAAAACCCAAATTCATGCCAATAAATAATTAAAGGTTTTTTAGAAAAACTTGTTTAACCTGCTTGCAAAAGACCTGATCCTGGACTAAACCTTCTTTTTCCCGAGACAGATAACGTGGGAAACCCCTGCGGTCAGGTTTCCGACGCCGGCTAGCCCCTCCGCCCCTCTGTCGGAATCGTCGGAACAGTCGGCATTGGAAATTATTCTGAATATTGCTTAATTCCGCCAGCGGCCGGTGGAGCCTTCCAGACTCTTCCCTCGCTATTTTACCGTCCCGCGGAGCTCGTAGGCTATACACGTGGTGCAGCCAATGGGCGCCCCGGACCTGGCCCTTTTGCCAATCAGCGGCGGGCTCAGGCGCTCGAGACCAATAATATGTTGCCACGTAGGACATCGGAGCGTGGCGAGAAATGTCCGGTGTTTTATCGAAGCTCTTGTGACGGAGGGGCTGGAGGGGCTGGAGGAGCTGGACCGGAAGAATCCGCTCTCTCCCACGATGCGTTTAATAATCGGACGTTTGCGACTTCGTGCTCACGTTGCGAGTATTCTTCTGTCATTGATTATTCCCGTCCGCGAGCAGTGACGACACGTGTTTCGCTCCAACGGAAACTCTCTTCGTTCGTTCAAACGGGTGCAGCCTACACGCGCATGTGTTCTTATACAGTCGCAAGACTTGTTCAAAGAGGGCTCCCGTTCTCCCACTAGAACAATGTCCATCCCCGTCCGGATCACGGGTGCCCGTGAGTCACCACCGGTGGCCGGCGACGCTGCGCCCACGGTTTACCCAGCCCGGCTTGCGTCAGCCGGCCGGATCCATGTTGCCCGGCCTCTCAAGATCCGGCACAGATTCACCCGACTCGTTCGGACTGGTCCGGGCGGGGCTCGACCGTCAGTCTGTTCCGGCTTACGTCGCGAGGAGTCACCACTCGACTTCGGAACTCGTTCCGCCCACGGTGGCGTCACGAGTAGCGGCTCCGGACTCGAGACCCACCGAGCGGCGTCGCGCGACGGAAACCGCGCCAGAAAGTCGCGCCCGGCAGCTGAGACAAACGATGCAACAAGATCGACGGTTTTAGTAGTTAGCATCTACCGAGTCGCGGAAAGTTCGGCGAGGACCGCCCTGGCTAACCCGAGGTTGTCGCGTAGCACTGGGATCCGGCAACTGGCAGAGGTGAACGAACCATGCTGTGGTTACGTGTTTGGGCCAATTAGGACACAGCATGCGAGGGCTGGGCCAATGAGAGGCCCGGCATTTCGAGCCAGTGACTCACTGTCTCATGCACGCTGAGGAGACCCGGGGCCGACAGTGCGTGCGTCGGCGATCAGCGCCGAAGCAGGTGCTGGTTCCTGGGGCTGGCGCCGGTCACCCGCTGGTCAACATTCGGCAGCATGGCCATTCTTCGTCTTCACTTTTCTTGGATGCGTTCGCTCTCCTGACACAGAGTCCCCCGTGGTCAACAAGACGACGAGAATAAGTCTTGACTGCGTCGACCCGATTGTTCCTCGAGTCCGAGGACCTCGGGCCCGATGAGTTCTGCCTTTAGCAATGATTCTCCGACTGCGCCATCTCTCTATCCATCGTCCTTCCCTGGGTTAAAGGAAAGAAAGTCAATCCGATACAAAGGAAGAGAAACGGGAAGGCTTTACTCTCGACAGTCGTACTTTCTAGACTGCTTTGCTCTCGACAGTCGTACTTTCTAGACTGCGTATGTAGTACTCAATCCGCGTCGGCATTTTCATGCATTTTCATACACTGCAGACATATTTGGGGGCTTGGCGATTGGGTTCGCTCGTCTTCTGCGGTGAAAGTCAGACTTGGTCACCACTCTTAGAGACGATTGGGTTATCCACTTGGATCAGCGGGTAGAGACTCTTCAGAAAAAAAAAAGATGTACCATTACTATATGGGGGAAACTTTGGTAGAAAGCAATATCTGACCTTGAGAAAATAGAGATACAAATAATGTATCTCATAATTGATAGACGACTAGTTCTGTGCCTTGTTGAGAACCCCGCTTTCGATCAGAACACACTTTTAAATTTGTCAATGCTCTGATATCAATTACCTTCAGACCCCCATACTGGAACAGGACAGAGGAATTTCGCATCGGGACTCACCGAGAGTTATCAGCTGTACTTTTAATCTCTCTCGTCATATCTCGATAGATTAATGGCACGGAAGTTCTGGCCAAAATGCATTTCATGCTCAACATTTCTTAAAAGAATCAAATTTGCATGTAAGATAGTATTGGATTTCCTAAGGAGGCCGGAAAATTCTATAACAACTTAGGCTGTCTTTGGGAATGGGCCTGGCGAATTGGTCACTATGCGGTGCGCAGTCACTGTGAGCGACATGAATGAGACTCGTGTGACTCACAATCGTCGCTCATTGTGGGGAACTCGAGTTTCTTAACTCCTGGACAGAGCGCAGTTTTGCGGGAGATCAACGATACGGAGGCCGAGGCTACACTCTGAACTCTATGCAACCCACGGAGTGGAAGCCAGTAGTACGAGACTGTCTGTGATCACTCTGGTGCTCCAGGAAGCCTCATACGACAGCTGTTTCAGCTCCGTGCACAGTAGGCCGGCTTGTTCCAGTGGGGATACTGTACTCGGTGGGGAAGTAACGCGCTAAAAATGAGTGGTGGCAAAATGAGAAACTCGTGATACTTCACTGGTTGATATTCTGATAATCATGCTCACGCTAATACAGCAAGCCTGCATGTTGCCGGTTGCTGCCTCGCTTCCCCCGCATTATTCCCGACCCTAGGTGTTGATGTGTGAAGCTCTGGCCTAAACTATGTTTCGTTTTCGTGCTTCACTTCCCTCCAACTGCACTGGACTCGTAGGCGACGTGGTACGTGACTCGCTCAGGGAGAACAATCGCTCAAGGGCAGGATTCTTGACTGCAAAACGGCAGGTAGTCTGATATAGAGTACATAAGCTGAGTTTGTTTTGTAGAGTAATCGGGGGAACTCCGGAGGAATGACAATAAGCTCTTGAAAGTTTCTCGTGATCTAAGAATCCTGGCCGCGATTACAAACCCCAGGACTCAACCGGTTCAGAACTGAAAAATCTTCAGCGATACCCACAGCTTGTACCCATCTCGACGCCAAAGAGACTGCGCACCTCTCATTTCGCGACACTCCACTGCACTGAATTTGGCAATACTACTCCAGTGCAGAAGGCAGCCAGTGGCCCTACGTAGCAGACTTCAGTCCTCTACCTGGGCTTTGAGTTTATATACATTTGCAAAAGACAACAATCCCCCTCCCCTCTTCGAAGATTAGGAAAATAACGATACTCCTGAGTTTCATAATCATGTTTCATATATACTTCGCTTTCTTATAAGTTTGAAATGCATCTGTTATCCCTTTTGCAGAAACTTCATAGGCTGCAGTGGCAGTTGGCAGAGACGGGGACTTGAATAATGAGGCGAATCTTTGTCCGTCCCTCCAGTAGAGAATGAGTCGATTGGTGCAAGCATGAGACCAGCTCTCACCTGACAGACCAACAAACCGGCATTAGTTTAAAGATCAAAGGGTTGTGGAAGAAGAAAAAAGTCTGCCAACCATTCACAGGCCACTGATGCATATCAAGACTCATAAACTCACCTAGGGCAGGTACTACTTCTGAACCCTCTTGGGTGATTTTGTTCGTCACTTGATTCACGAGTACGATCTGCACGTCGTTTCAGACTAAGGTCAGCGTAATATGACAGAAACTGGGACAAATATTAGGAGACTTAGAAATACCAAATCCACCAGCCACCTTCAATGCTCATGAAACGAGGGACAGAAAGTAAACGAAGGCATGTGGAATAGTTGCTCACGGCAAGGTCATGCTTTTGTACAAGTGCCATCAGTTTAAGTGACAGAGAGCTTAGTAAGCGCGTTCTCAGTGCCATGTCTTCAAAACCCTGACGAAAGTGAAAGGTGACACTATCGATCACTATCAACCGCACCTGAATGAAGCAGCAAATGAAAGACATGAGAATCACCTGGCGACTTACAACCCTTAAAACTACACTAAAGACATGTGATTGCTATCTGGGTGTGGCCTCGTGAAGATCACTGAACTTTGTTTTGAATCTGACGAAAGTCAGTGCTCTGAACAATACCGAGTTATCGAGTCGTGTGAGATCTGAGAATATGAGGACAGTTGCACGAAAATGACACCTTGCGTTCGGCCCAGAAGTACAAGTCCCTACCTGACCATGTTCAATCATGAATTTCTCCAGAGTGTTTATAACTGCCACTTGCTCTGAGACATCATGAATTCGGAAGTAGTAGATTTGTGACAAGAATTTATCCACATTTACTTCCGACTTCAGAGCCTCCATGTCCACTTGTGGATCCAACATAGCTCTTCTCATGATCTCAACAACACTTGATTCAATCATTTGAACAGCACGCTCGACCATAAAACTGCCTTCTGTATCTGATTCATGCAACATCAACATTTTAGATCACAGAACTGAGAACCTAAAGAGAATGGAACAAGCTTCCGAACAGGGCAGAAAAACGATTATCCACCTATGTAGATAGCATGTCCACCCATACCACCAAGCTCCGCTGGAATTTGTACATTGACGGCTAGCTGTATCCTGCAGCAGTGACGGTGAAGCTGGCATTACTGTCTGACCGAAACCGCTTTGCTGGAAGAAGAACCACTTAAGATATTTTGGAAAGGAACACTTGCGCAGTGTTTAGTACCCTAGTTGAGTCTTGCCAACACCAGGCACGCCACCTTGACAAACAATGAAGTGCATGCTTTTATCAGATATCTCCCTTGACAGAAGGTATTGTCAAGGTATTGAGAGACAAAAGTTCTTCTGGAGCACTTCAGATGGATTAAGATAGGGTGGAGAAAAATTAGCTGAGATAAACAAGTGTAACCAATCATTCACAGACAAAGATAATTCCCAATTTTCAATAAATTACAGCAGTACAATACCCCATATAAACTGAAAAGGCAAAGAAACTTACAAATTTCAGTCACCTCCTTGGTACAGATACCACCTCCAAGAATGTTATCAAGGTCATGGCAGGAAGTAATAATCCTTCTTTTAGCTTTCTCGTGCCGAAAAAGATCCCACGCATTTTGGCCACCTGTTAAAACGACGCGAACAAGTTCAGATTGTAAAAACAGAATCATCACATATCTGACGGCATGAAGCAATTTCGTGAGAGGGTGAGAGCGCTGAACATACAGAAATCAAGGGCGCTGGAAGCACCCGTCCCACAGGGCGACACGTTAGAAGTGGGAATGAGCTTGATGATACCCAAAGCTTCCTCATGGGTAATGCAGACATCTGAAACAATGACAAACCTGGTTAGAATCTCAACATATACAAGACGCATCAGGTTAGCCTCTGCAAAGTGAACTTAGCTTTATTCGGTGGATTCTTTGAGCTAATACAGTAACTCAAACATTTTGCTCATCAGAAGGGCACGTGGGGACGCGATTGATTATCATGACTGTTCCTCCCACAGACGACAGAATCACGCCAAATTACGTATCGCAGGATACTGATTTATTAAAAACAGAACACTAGCAGGTACTAAGACCTCTCTCATAAAAGGCGTGTAGTTCAAAACAAATGCAGCTCTATGAAATTCACCAACGGACGCAGCACAACTCCATCAATCTAGAAGGTATAAAGAAAACTGAAGGCCCCAACCTCGAGCCAATTCAACGGGAGAAACGTTGCTGTCGATCGTGGAGTAGCCCGCAGCTTGGAGCTTGGAGCGCAGAGACGGTGGTAGAGGCAAAGTCACCACCTCCATGACCACTGCCTCTCAAAAGCCTCTCAAAAGAATCTTTGCCGCGACAGCTGCGAGAAAGCAATTTCGAAAATGGGCCCGTACTTCAACACCCGATCGTCCAGAGATGAGAATATCAAGTGCGGCGCAAATTCATGCGCAGCAATCGAGGCGGCATTCGCACGAGCCTGATGGCATGCCCTCGATTGTTACTCGGAAGACCTGGCGTTAGGCCTGCAGCGATTCCGAAGAGCTCACAAACGCTCGAGATTTTGGAGGAAGCCGGTTTCGAATCAGTCTTGGCGCCACGCATGCCCAAAAACGCATGTAACAAATACGACATCGAGGCGTACGGGGATATTGCAACCAGGATGTCCAAGGTCAAACCATTTGATAAGGTGGCGATGATTATAACAAATTATGCAATAAAAAACAAATTACTTCGACTTCTTTTACTTGAAAATCCAGATCAAACTTTGATTTACTTCTTCACGGCGTTCTAGATAAGAATGGCTAGATAAAGTCTACGTTGTACACGATGATCTATGTAGATGAGTGGAAAAAAAACACAGTTTTCTTAGTATTAAAACCTGGAAATTTGTGATCAATTATAAATGTGCATTGAATAACTCACATTGAAATAAGATAAATTGATACTTTCTTACCACAAATGCGGGGGAAAAGTATGAACTGCAGTTACTTGGGATCAAGTAGGCTGCGAGAACTGTATAAATATTAATGCTTTACCAGAACGAAGATAATTCATATGATCAAATAAAATGTATAATTTTTGAATATTTATATCATATTGATTATGATTATTTTATCTTAAATTTGAATATGAAATAAACTATTTGATTACATTTAAATCCAGATATATATTTAGAGCAAATGCTACACAATCATCGGCACACTTTATTAGATGCAGGTATTGAATTTATTCTCCCTTAGCTTCAATAAATAAACTACTAACAACTCACAATAACAAGCTATCATTTAAGTAAATTATTTGATGGTACCGAACAGGTTTCATTTTATCCAATTGGATCACTTCAACTTTGTGCAGCACATCTTCTATCAATATTGTAATATGATTTGGGGGTAATTTTGGTTAGAACCTTTCGACGTTTTTTTTGTATGCAATTATGACAAAATTCCATCATAAGTTTCATCTTTCGCACATTTGTCTAGTCTGGAGTCTCTTCTTCGTCTCATCAGTAGCTGCAACTATCGTGACTTTTGTTGTTGCCGTCTCAGCGGGTCGCTCCTCTTCCTCAACATTAGATTGGTCAATGTACTACAACGGAAAGAGTATTCGTCGAGAATCAATTGCCACTTCTTCCCTGGATACATTCTTCCACTCACTCTCAATTTAGATCTCCTATCTGTTCACCACTGTCTTTCGCAATCACTGATCCACCGCCAATCACTGGAGAATCGGTAACAGCTTCAGAGTTTCGTCCCCTCTCGCCGATTTGTCCACTATTGTAATTGAACGCATTTCTTTCCACTTGTAGAAGTAGTAATTACTCAAACAATTGCAAGACACTCCGATCCAGAGGATCTACAGCATCGGCGACTATCTACATACTACACACTATAATATAAATTATCAAGTTATAAGAACTTTCATTGGACTTTTCAATAAAAAATTTCACGTGCATCCATTTATTGTCATGTTTCAATAAAAGTTCTTATAACTTGATAATTTATAATAAAGTGTGGAGTATGTCTGCCACTATCGGGCCAAAATACTCTCGCGATTCTTTTCGAGACTCATTTGGTGAGAAAAATTTTGTAGCGTGTTTTTGAACGTGATGGTCACCATGATGCTAAAATATCACAAGCTTTTGTTCTGGAGATGACTAAGAGTCTGCGCCTAGATGCCACTGCCGATGATGTAGATCCTCTGGATCAGAGTGTCTTGCAATTGTTTTCAAAATTCCTACTTCTACAAGTGGAAAGAAATGCCTTCAATTGATGTACAAACCAACGAGAGGGTACGAAACTTTGAAGCTGTTACCAATTCTCCAGTAATTGACGGTGGATCAGTGATTGCGAAAGACAGTGGTGGACACTTGGGAGATCCAAATTGAGAGTGAGTGGAAGAATCAATCAAGAGCATGGCATCAAGCTTGTAACTAACATACTAGTCAATGAAAAATGTATCAGACCTTAGAATTATCTTCAACTCATATTTTATTTTTTGAGTATAAGCCAATTGCATTTAAAAATTGCTCAAAGTACATTTCGCGTGTTCATCTTTGAATTTTTTGTATATGAAATTAAACAAAATATTGTGCATATCATTGTCTAAAATATGATGTCACTAAGATGAAGAAGAAAATGATCGACATGAGGAACATATGTTTGGTAGTATGGATGAGAATAATGGCCAACTAATTCAATGTCGACAAGTTGCAATCAAGCCAAAAGAACACGCATTATCAGTGTTTCATCGTGTTGAATCTAAGTATGTTGCTATAGAATATTCTTACTTAGTAACAATTGCCAAGACAAAAACAACATTGTTTTGCCTGGCTATGCGTTACGTGTTCCACATGATATCATTTGGTATGGCATCCAAACTTATCGATTACACATATGATGTTTCGGACTATCTTGCTTTACATGTATGTTCTCGTCACAAAATTAGTAGCTTCGTTTGTGTTATCCACACTACCAAGCTGCAAAATTGTCAATCTTCTTTGATGTTTGTGGGCATTTTCATTAGCACTTGACTCGACGACACATCATATCACTTCATTTCTTGATATAAGTATCCGGATCTTCATATGAAACTATCATTGGATTGTCAACTTGCATAATTGTGTGCACGATGATGAGCAAGTTATTGACAATGCTTTGTTCACATTGTACAATTTGTCTTCTTGGTTTGACAACTAACAAAGTCTTCAACATGATCGGACGGATTACTTGTGTTATGACGTGTATTTCCAACGTGATGCACAATGATTGTTCTTTGGTTTGAATTTGGTGCGAAGCGCATCAATTAGATCTTGTTATGGAAGAGATAATGAACAGTGTTATCAAATAACAATTATCTGCAGTGATGACTTGATTTAATACTAATTTGACAAGGTAGCAAAATTTGATCCCAGAAATGCAAACTACATGCCATCTTGTTGTTAATTCTTGACTTTCGACGGAAAAAATCATCATTTGATTCAAAATACATCGGACACAGTAGCTTGTTCATATCCAATCAAAGCAGGCAATTTTTGCTCCATCTCGAATTTGATGGATAGCACTTCATACTATGCATCATTTCACCACTCGATCAACTGTAGCTTTTTGTGCTATTCAAGGATGAACTAATTTTATATCTTAGTAGCAAAATGACGTAAATAATCTTGTCGCAACTTTCATTGCCGACATTGGAGTGATTGGATTGCTCAATGCAGATTCAATTGTGAATATTGATCTATCGATTCACACCATCGTTGATCATTATGTGGTCACTTTGTTGAGTGTTCAAAAATTTCTCATTGCTCTTGATTTTTGGATTAAAACATTACTTAGCAAAGTCGATGAAAGCGATTTAAACGATCTTCAACACCATATCGTACTTGTTTACATCACCAATTAATATCAAATCCATGAAATTTGAGCTTATTGAAACAACAATGCAATGACTGATTTTGGTTATTTTTCTAATGATATCACATGAGCTCATTAAACCAACGGTAGAAAATTTTATTTTAAAGATTTAGAAATATACTTTTTATCGAAGCATTGTCATTCATTAGATCAGATGAGCACAAAGCTCTAGTGCATGCTCATAGATGTCAGCAAGTGATTAAGAGCATCGTTGATTTGCTTCCCAGCAGTTCAAGTTTTAAGTATGACTAGTCTCATTTAATGCTCAAGTTTCAAATCTGATGAAATATTGTAGTGTAGTTGCAAAGCTTTTTACTAGAATTAAATGGTAGAGTTTAATTTTTCAATTTTGCGTTGACAAAAAGTCTTTTTTTGCAAAAGACTATTAAACTATTATTATTTGAAGAAGTCAAGCAATCAAAACAATTTTTGTTCATAGAAGAGTTCAAACATTGATAAATTTTTATTACAAAGTTTGTATTGAAAATTGCCTAAATGAAATTTTTTGATTAAATTAATCTAAATTAAATTTTTAGTAGTTCAAATTAGACTAAATTAAATTTTTTAGAAAACTAAATTAGCCTAACTTAACTTTTTAGTAGATTAAATCAACTTAAATTAACATTTTTGAGTAGACAAACTTAGCCTAGATTAATTTTTTTGAGTAGATTAAATTGAGCATATTCAGTTAATTTAGGCGAATGACTATTAAACCATGACAAATCATAACTTATAAAAATTTCCTCTACTGCATACAAGATAACTATAATTTATAAAGATTCTATGATATACATTTATAAATTTTGTAATTTCATCCATTTTTTCAAAAAAAGTCTGACAATATAAGAGTGTGACATGATCCATATGTAATATTATTCATTTCAATCGTAATAATCATATTTTTTTCAAAGGGCGTGATCAACATGATCAATGAATGAAGTGTAGACATCTTCTTAATGGAAACAAAGCCATATGCTCAATATGATGTGATTCATCTTGATCTCCAAGAGGTAAGTTGCAGAAGATTCGTTGAAGATTTTGTTGTTGACTTCGAATGAAAGAGTTTCTTCAAACAGGGGAAATCACACTTGTCTGGTAAGTAAACTGCATTAAGATGTGAAAGAATATTTGATAACATAGACTCTTTTCCATGAAACTATTTGATTATTAAGTTGGCAGACTTTCTAGGAAGCAAGAGCTCAAATTTATATACTGACAATGAAGTTAAAAAAACAGAGATTTAAGCTAAAATGTTATATAATATAATACAATACATTTAGGAGAAAAGAAACAATATAGAGCAATAAATTAAATGATTGAAACTTATCAACTTATGAATAGAAAGAAATAAAGATTTTATCTTGTAATTTATATTTTTTTTTATTGGTAGTTAATTAAAATTTAGAGAGAAAATTATTTGATAGTGTACTAACGCAAAACAGTGGTTGAGATCAAACATATATTATGTTGGTAAAATATACAATAAGCAATCTATTCTCATCCTTGTTCCAACATGTTATTGTAACTTGATTACTTAGTAGTCACTTATAATACGCCAAAGATGATAAACCTACTCAAAAACTTTACCTTGGATACCGAAGTGCATCATGCATAGGAGGGAAATCAACACATACAACCAAATCTAAGAATGAGGAGGTAACAAAACTTTCTCACATTAAGAGTCAATTTAGTCAATAGATCCTGTCACATCGCATTGATGTTGAAATTTGTGGGAATCGAATCCAGCGTATCATCACAAAGAAAAGTGCGATTTTGCGATCATTGCGGCCGGTGTGTTAAAGAAGTGTGACAGTTAGTTCTACATACGATAAGAAACCATGACAAATGTCCAAAAGATACAACAAAAGTTGACGATAAGACATCCATCCGCGCATCAATTTTTGCTTCTCATAACATATGACATTAGGCATGAAAATGGTGATTTTAACTCAAAGACTAATTGTGGAAATCTTGTTTTCATTCACTATTTTGACAGTTTTTAATGAACCAAAAGAGTTACACCGCTTTAGTTTGAGCATTCCGGGCAATTTCTGGAGGCATTTTTTAGTTCATTGTTTTTGAATTCTTGTAACCAGGTGACGGTGGGGTGCATAGTTGGAGGAGTGCGCGTACTATTCTATGACATGAATCTTGTTGGGTCCCAGCAAATTTTTGAGTTCCATAGTTGTACCATAAAGTAATTTTCTCTTTGAGTGTTACTCTTATTACTCCGTCAATAAATATGACCTATTTTTGTTCTCTTTATGACACAGTTATGTTATTCTCGGTAAAGCTTGTTGCGTAACCATGAACATAGCTTCATCAAGGTGAAACACACTTTTTTTCTTGCACATCTCTGTTTGCTTCTTCTTGCAAGAATATCAAGTCAGAGTTTCGATATGAAAATATCAGGCTTGGTTGTAAGAACCTAATCTGCAGTTGTAATCATCACAAAAAAGAAGAGGAAACGCTATGTTTCCTTTGAGCGATAGCTTCATAAGTTCTGTTTAAGACAGAATCGAAGATCATAAAGTATTCAAGGACTCTGGGTTTCAAGTATTAAATCTGAATTTGGAATCAGTACGTTTAGAATGCACACACTGAATTTCATCAAGACGTCAAATCAGTAATTCAAACTAGATGCCACTTGCTTGGGTCTCCGGTGAAACTTGTATTGTACAATTTAAAGCACCCGAATGCTCTTACGTCACGATTGGGACCAGGACAGTTGAATGGAATGGACAAGAAGAACTTTGAGGTCTTGTAAATTCACAAGTGCCATCGTCCAATTGGACGGAAATGCTTCGGAGTAAGGACGAAACATATCAATTAAATTTGTTGAGTGCAAGATCTACTGTACTTGACTCCAACTTTCATTCCCATGTTGACACACCTCAATGCCTGGAAGGAGTAACTGTAAAGAGGGTAAGTGCTGATTTCGAGATGTTTCCGTCATGGTTCGATCGTTTTCCAACTGCCAGTGTAACTTGGTTCATAGACACAACCATCGAGAGCTCAGAATTTCTTACAGGGAAACTTTCAAGCAGGAGCTCGGGGCTCCATGACTGAATAGGAATCAGAGGTGGTACAGCGTTCACACAGTGCGCTGTGGCCGTATGTACGATTAGGTTCTTGCCTGCTGCTGGTTTGCTTTGTCGATGTTGGCTCCTCTGATCCGTGAGAGGACAGGCCAATGAGGTTTAGCTCAGCGTGGGCGTTTTACAAGAATTGAAAATGTGAAAGTTAAAACGCCCCGATGCCAAAATACGTTCCCCAACTTTCGGCATACAAGTGTCACCACATCTCTACATCATGTCCTGGAAATTTAGTTTGACACGCTCATATCAATAATCAATTCCAATGTTGTCATGAGGTTCTTCTGCTCTGTCCACCATCCGGTGCTGATTTACAACTATCCGTGAATATTGGTTGCTCCGAAGGGATCCATGACTGATTTTTTGTAGCGGCCCAGATCCTCAGTTCGTTTCTGAATCCTTTTATCACACAATAGTTCCGATCTAGCACTCGAGCAATCCTTCCCTCCTGTCGATGATTCCAAAATATCACTTTTTCAACACTCTGCAATCATGGTCAACATTAACAGTCGAAACGACGCAGTACAAAGTTCCAACTGTTTTTGTAATCGTCAATATTTGTTAGACTCTTTTTGTATTGAAAGGCTTCCCCACATTCAAGGGCACATGACTCGTAAATTTTGAGGTTTAAGGGGACGTCAAGTAGCACCAACAAGTGAAGCAATGATCCGCTCAATTTCTGAAGTTAGATAGCTTGTAAATACATGTTTTCCAGAGGATGAAATAACTTCCTCTGGAACCTCTTTCATCCACTACTTTTGTTAACTTTCTGTCAACTTCGTCAACACTCAGCTGTTATGCCAAGTTTTGGGTGTGGTGAAGTATATCACTCATCAATTTAAGAAGATCGAGGAGCCATACGATGCGGAATTGTTGATACCTTACATCTACTCAGTTATGATGGAATCCATTACCTTCTTCAGTTAACTCAACATAATCAGCCTAATGATTTTGTGTGACCGAAGATTTCTTTGTCAACAGAAGTACTAGTTCAGTACCTGTGAAATGAACAACAAATTTGAGCAAATAAAAACAAGTATAGTAGACACCCAGTTCCAAGATCCAAAATATATTCTCATGACATTTCTGGAACAACAAATTTATAGGGATTAACTGAGGTCGCTCAATAATGAAACCTCTCGTTTCCGTAACTTGAATTTGTTCCTGTATTCTTGAGCAATTATGTATCACGGCGTTCTTATAAACGGAAAGTGTGAATTGCAGGTAACTTTATGTACAGGGGACGCTTTTATTATCCTGAATCATGTACCCTGTTTGTGAGCTGTGCGAAGAACTTCAGGCTCAAATTACAGGCTGGATCGATGGACGCTTAAATGTGAGCGATTTGCAGTGAAGAATCGAATGGAAGGGGCGGCATTACCAGATATGCCAATATCAATTTCATGCAAGCTGGCCACTAATATGACTGGAAAATAGTGAAATCCCCTAGCTGAAATCAACCCGTCTGCTGCTGAGACATGCGACTCAGAATGTTCAATTGTACTTAATAGACGCTTTTATGTCATATGGTATGATCATAAGTCGAGGTAACAATCACCTTAATCTGATTAACTACGCAAAAGTCGGCACAAAATCGTTGAAATAAAATTGATGTACGGAGTCTTCTGCCGTCAAAGAATCAAAGAACCAGAGATGATAAATCGAAGAACTCTCGTACAAAAAATTTGAGGAGACGGCGCAGAAGACCGAGGTCGATTCTGAACGAGAGGTAAACCTGTACACGTGTATGCATGCTGTGAGTGAGTCTCCAACATCTGGCACCCTGATTTGATGGTTTCTCGCTTGAAGGAAAGGGGAAGGGCCAGAAATCATCAGACCTGCGAGGTAGGGCTTCTGGTTAGCTAGTCTGAGACTTCTAATTTCTAAATTCGATGAAGTTCCAATGACGAAGATTTTCAGCTTGGCCGAATATGAGGCGTTGCCAGATGACAAAATTCCATCTGGCAATGCCTCGCCGAAAGTTGCCGACCAAACGAGATTGCTTAACAGCGTGAGGAGACTGCGGTCTTTTGAAAGACAGGACGAAAGGCCCACCCTGCAGCCATGGCGGCCATGATTGATATTGAAAAATGTTGTGACTTTTACGCAATTTCCCTGTAAAGAGCATCCAGGAGCTGGGACCCCAACACCAAATTCAAGCTGTGGCCAGAACTGTCAATGGCCAATTGTTCCTTTCACCGACATTCCGAACGAAAGGGAGACACGGCGAATCATCGAAGGTCAATCTAGTAGACATATCCAGTTGACATCGCACCTCGTACGAAACTCAGTACTGTACGTCCAATTTATTGCTAGTGCAGCCTCACACACTTCGATCGAGGCTGTGCTGAGTCGCCATTGTTGGAGAAGGTTGCGTGAACTCTCTCTGATGCCCTTGTGTCATCTCTTCATTGGTCCGAAGCACCGGCCTCCACACTTCTGTCCGAAGTTGAGCTCGTGGAGGGACACTGCGGCAGTGGACAAGTGTCACTCGCTTGCGCTCGAAGGATCTCCCATAACACGTTTCACTCGGCCGACGGGGTTCCAACCCTTCGAGCGAGTGACACGTGTCTTCGGTCCAGCTCACCATTCCTTGCACAGTCATGGACTCGTCCCCCGACGCTGGCCTCTTTGCTACATATAAATACTTCTGCAGCAACGAAGTACAGCATCAATCATCTCAGCTCCAGCTCAAGAATCAAATTCAAGGCTTTTTCAAAACTCAGGATTGTAGATTGTACCAGTTCTTCCAGTGCTCGTGAGGATTTCGAGGAGGATAAGAAGATTTTGAAAGATGTCGTCTACTCAATCACCCGTCGCCCACAAGCCCACTATCATGGAGCAAGTGAAGGAGAAGGTTTCAGTTGTGAAGGATAAGCTCACGGGACACGAGCATCATCCAGCTGCAGGTGCAGTCGACACTCACACCACTTCACCGACCACCACAGCTCATTCGCCCAAGTCTCCGAAGTCTCCGAAGCAGGGCGAGAGCATGTTGCAGAAGATCAAGGACAAGCTGCCAGGAAGTCACGCTCACTCTTCTACGACAACGACGACGCCCGTCTCCACGCCAGCCACCGGTGATCATCTACACCATGAGACCGTCGGGGAGAAGGCCGGAAACGCCTTCAAGCCCGGACACTCTGATGGTCTCACTCACGGTGTCACAGAACACGACACTCTGAAGTAGAGAGAATTTTATCGTACTTGGTATGTAATTTGTTCATATTATCGTACATCAGCTGCGGAGATTCTGTGGCTTGCGGAAGGGAACGCTCGTGGATTTTGTGCTCCAGGTTTACGGATTCTGCTTGAGAGAAGCCCAGAGCGTCAAATTGAACCAATCTTGAGTCTGCATCGCCACTTACATAATCCCAGCAGCTGAATATTTCGTGTTATCATTGTACAACTGTTTGAGGAGAAGGTAAGCTTCTTGGGAGATGATACTCGCAAGGAGCAAATTTGTTGTAATGGCATTCAACACATTTATTGTGATGGATGGCTCATCATTTCCCATGCCACTGTTGGTTACTCCTGTGACAACTGGTTTTGGGCAACAAAAGACATTATTTGTATAGAAAGGATTTGAAATTTCCGTCCACATTTATAAAGAGATCTGAAAATTTATAGCATACGTACCCTCGTGTATCGAAGTGAACAGGGGTTCATGCAGACAATTCACACCGAGTTTATGTTATGTTTTGTCCATCCGGGATATGGTTACGAACCTATAACCAGTTCCTGGTTTTGAAGTTTGCTATTCTGGCCGTCATATTGTTCCGAAGATTGATAACTTTCTCAGAGTAGATTGTCATGGCTGCCTCCTGTCCGTCAATTGAAGTGTGTCTATGTCATCAACTACGGTAGTGGTGGACACACTCATTGTTTTACGGATGTTATCATTTACAATACATTCTATTTCGACCTTTGACTCACATACATGGTTTGCGAAGAAGATTCTTCGTTAGCATTCTACACATCAGTATGAATTCACGTTGACACCTTGCCTGAAATTTAGTCAGTCTCTGTGCACGATATTAAGAAAACGACCCGTAGTATCTGTGAACGTTCTATCTTGTAACTCTCAAAACTGCAATTTTTTACTGGAAGTTTATCAATGATTCCAGTAAAATTTAAACCTACACTACTTCTTTCATTTGCTCTTCAGACTGCTTAGACGTATATATACTCTCTGCACCTCAAGAATCACAGACCTCTGAACCTCAACTGACACCTTAAGTTTCATATTGATTCTTCGACAAATTTGAATTGCAAAGCGCAGAATGTAACACTTGAGACTAAATAATGTCACCAACATACTACACCGGATATGAAGTATAATCCGGAACCTTAAATTCAAACTGGACAGATAAGTTTTCACCTAAACATATCTAAGGCCAGATTTGATCATACACATCATATTGAGAACTGAGAGTAGATGCTTTTAGGAACCGTCTTATCCTTAAAGAGCTGTCCTCTCCTTCTAAAAAATGAGTAAGGTTGGTTAAAGTTTGTCGACGATAAGCCATTGGCGTAGTGAAGGTCGATTCTAAAGCGAATATACTTAAAGAAGGCAAAATCTCATACCGCTCATGATTTACACAGTCACGAAGGGGGGGAATGTCAGGAAGACGTGTATGATGAGTCATTCACGTAAGCTCCTGACCGCTGTGCTCAGAAGGTCGATAATGATCCTCTACTTACAGTGCAGTCATCACCGGCATAATATCTGAAAATATCTGCAAAGTCCCAAGTATGTCGTTACAGCGTTCTTCTGAACCTACTCGAGACACCTGAATCCGCTTCTTGTAGACCCAGCACATTTTATTCCGTGACTTACTCGAACAAATCTCACAGGGGACGTCGAGTCACGGCCAAAATGCAAACTCACTGTCTATCACTGTGTCTGTGGAAACAGCGCGTACTAACCTGTCTTCTGAACAACTTGCATGGCCAATGAGCCACCGTCCTTCTCGTTGAAAAGCACAGTGGTATCGCGGCAAGATGACCCAGTCTTTTGGACACCAATCTGTGCACCAATACGAGACAAATTCACTCTCTGGAATGGTCAATGTTGATGCACAAAAATTTTCAGCGGTATGTTGCAGACCAACAAAGTCTCTGCAGAACAGCACAGTTCGGCCTTGGAAATGTTTCGAAGGATCACAACAGCATCCTTGATCTAATGATTCTACACATCCATTGCTACTTATTAGATGCCTACAGTGGATAGATTCTGTTACGGGTTAGTCTGAAAGGGTTGAGACTCCGAACCAGGTGCTTGACAAGTAATTATGTTAGCTTGTTCACGAAGTCAGACCAGCAATGACAGAGGACGCTACATTGGCAGAATCGCATGTGAAGAATCAGGAGGCATCTCCGACGAACATTAAATTTACACACACCAATCATCTTTTGATTTTTCTTAAAAGGATGAATCTTGACCAGATCGTAGCACTGAACGTGCGCGTTGAGCTTATCTGAAAGCTCTAGGCCCTGGTAAGGCTCAAACAAAAGTCCACTATACTCTGGCACTGTGACTCCCGCCATCGTGCACAGTAAGAGGAAACGTGTCGGCTACGTATTGGCAGACATGTGACGATGAGTGGGTTCCTAGCAAGTGGCACACACGTCGCCACTAATTTTACGAAAGCTGTACCGCTGGCATCTCCATGGGTGCCACTTCCTCCGTCGCCAGCCGCATATACAAATTACTGAGCGATCTTCTTTTTTCATCCTCCCCGTAACAAAACCAGCTCAGGTTGAAGATTTCTGGAAAATTTAATCGTCGAGAGACTTGGAATTGCAGGAGACTTGGAATCTGAGTGGAAGGCCAGGTGCCCAGGCAGATCTATTCGCTGCGCATTTGTAGAGTCAGACGCCGTTGGCTGCCTAGCGTCATCGAGAATGGAGTCGTCGGAAGCACATGTCGATGCTCAACCGGAACACAAGCCGACAATCGTCGAGCAGATCAAGGAGAAGGTATCCGCAGTGAAGGAAAAGATCAAAGGGCATATACACGATGGTCAATCACCTGCTGCTGCTGCTTCTGCTGCTGCTCCTGAAGCTGAATCCAGGGATCACGACGCGCATGGTCATCGTCACGAGCATGCCAGGGAGGGCATTGTATTGACTGAGAGGATCGAGAGACCTATCCCCGAAGGTGGACTCATTTTGGAGGCCGCTCCTGAAGACGCAGTAGACCCTCATCATGGTCTTACCGAGAAAATCAAAAACGTGTTCAAATTCCCCGTTCCTGACAGCACTTTGACTCCAACAGAAGATTTTGAGGAGACCGTACCACCAAATCTCAAGATTTGAATGCCTTACCAGCAGCCGATGTGCAATTGTTGGTGGAACATCGCTTTTTCATGAGTCAATCGAAGATACTTTCAGAGACTATGAATTACGCTAGACTCAGAATAGCAGGACCATTTGGAGAGAGAGAGTGAGACCTTCCATTTGAGTCATCAAACGAAGTATGTACTTCGTTCGATGACCCAAGTATGTGTACTTCGTTCACTTATTCTTATCTAGTCGAAACCCTAATTGTAGAAATGCTTCAAACTGCATAGATTTTCATACGTGCTCTTGACAGCTAGTTCATGTCCATACGCCGGTCGCCTCTCAATTGAAAAACAAATTGTGATAGACTAGAAACTTTATGACTGATTCGTAAGTTCAAGTTACGAGTCCTCTGTTGTGCAAACATTAATTTTCCGGAGAGAAATCGAGGCAAAAACGGTGCGAAATAAATCGCACTAAGTTCACCCAATGCTTCAGGGTTTGCTCGTATCTTCTGCGTCCAAACCAGTATTCTGTTCTTTACTGCCCAACTATGGATGGCCCAATAGCACAATTTTCCATAAGGATTCGACTCAGCTCAATAAACGCTACGTGTATTGTGTCGCAGCTCAGACTAGAACTGCCTCATGCAAGTGCTACCTGACACTCACCGATTGCAGTGTCAAGATATTGTAGGACAAAGTCTGCAACCGCAGGACCAGACAAAGATGTTGTATGGCTGACGATGAAAGGAGCTCTTGTCCGTAAGTAAAGATCAGCTGAGGAAGTGATCTTTGCCGTCAGGGCGAGAGTGGGAACCCTCTCTATGCTGAGTCGAAACACACGTTTCCTTGAATGTTGTAATCTGTCACAGCGATGGAGTTTAGATGGAGGTGAGCTTCGGCTGTCTCAATTCAACAAACTAGGAAAGTCTAATTTGTTTCGTGAGGGCACAAAACTGCCAATTCTAGAGAGCATTCATTGGTAATGCAAAATGAAGTGAAGATTGACGACGGTTTACGTAACGGCAAGGATATTACGGAGCTAGAACTTTAACAAGTGAATATTGAAGGCCTTAAATGACTAAGATGCTTCCTTATCATAGTCTAGACCTTGGCTCGATCGGTAGATCTGTCACTATAAACCTGCGATGCTCAAAAATTTCAGCCCATACGTGGAAAAAGAAAAGAAGCTACAGCTGTTCCAGACAAAAAACTTAATTATCTGTATATATATATATATATATATACATACATTCCAGCCAATGAAGTTTTAAAACTCCAATCATGTGAATTTATAGAAAACACTAGTATTGTCAAAAGTCTTCACACAACCTAGTCATGTATTACACTGTACATCACCAACATAGTAAACCTAGTCATTTTATCTCTACGAACTACGCTGGTTATATCTACATAGTTATATCTACGTGCAGTTTTATGATAATTTAATATGTCCATATAGTGAGAATATTTTCATTCTAAACAAGTACTAAGCTACAATAATCAAGGGATGAATTTTTAATGAATCATACAAGGCTCGCTGAAGTTCAGTTTCGGCTGATGTTTACATCTTCAAGATAGATTTATGTAAGGATGTACTTAATTTGAAGATTAGGAATTATAGATAGAAACAATCGAGACCCTTTTCGGAAAAAAAAATTTGAATTTTGAATGATTTTTTATATTCTAAATGATGTATGAAGTTTTCAAGTTGAAAATTGTTGAGTTCCATAATTTAATTCGAAATTTCAAGCTTTCCTTTATAAAATAAAATTCAGAATCTAAAGTATTCATAAGATTTCATATTCTTGTAAATTTATAACAAAAAGATGTTATAATAATCAAACATATAATTTGAAATCGAATGACACGGTTAATTTTCCACAATGTTTCACATATCAGATATGTGATATTAGTTCATGTGCTCAATAAAGTGTATTAAACGTTGTAGTATAACTTTCATTCAAAGATCTAGAGTATCCAAGTATGTGTACACCGCTACGCTGAATTGATGCAAAAGATGATTGAATGTACACTAATCATGACATGAAGATACAAATGTCAACTGCAACTGGTGCAGTGTACACTGATTTCTCAAGTTTTAGAATTTTTATAATTCTTTTCTTCTTCTCAAAATTTTTCATTGTTTTCATCCATGGAACTTATATATATGAAGAATATTCTATATTCTCACATAATAAGAATCTCGTTGTCCAATAATAAATCTTGAGAATTATTCAAAAACTTGACACGGAATTCTATAACTGGAATATAAAGCTCAATGCAAAAAAGAAGATTCACTTTTTTATATATACAAATTAAACTGAACCCTAAAGCCCTCATCATTTTGGATACATCAATCAAACTTGTGCGCGTGTATCTTTGAAGAAGATTTTGCTATAAAATTTTAAATGTACCAACTTAGGTAGTAGAAATATTAGATCATTTTTTAAAACCCAAAAGTACAAAAAAAATCAACTTATGTTTTGTACATGTATAGCAATTGAATACAATTTTTCAAGCTTGATAAAGATTTCAGCATCTAAGGAAAATTTTGTTTCCCCCACTTTATATGAAGAAAAAAATAATATGATAATTTAGAATCTTTTTAACGCAAGGACTGAGATTTATAAAAGACCGAGTTATCATTAAAATAATCAATTTATTAGAGGAAGATTGACAACAAAAATTTTATTAGTAATATTCAACAATGAAACTTTCAAGAGGAAAAAACTGAAGTGATACATACTATATTTCTCATACAAAATTTTTTTCTAATCATATATAAACATATTGCAAACTATTCATGCAAAAATTTATCAACTGAAAGAAAATCTTCGCATGACTATTTAAATAGAAGTCTTCGCATTATAGATATTTATATGTTCAAGTGAGTTTAGAGCATACGGATATTCATTTCGTAAACTAGATGTTTCAATAACATGTTTAGATATATGCTAACTTGTTCGAAAGTTTTAACTTTTATTTAAAACAACAACTTTCTTAGTAAAGCTTCATCTTCGTTACCTACCAAAGATTGATAAATCCTATAGAATGTATAAATAAATAGGACAGATCATCTAAAATCTGGCGTTCTATTTTAAGAATCCAAATTTCCCATAAATAATGGGAAATAATGGGCCATAATTAATCTGGCCAATGTATCAGAATTGATTTGTACAAAATTCCATACATTATAAAGACATCTATAGGTAAATCTCGCCCACAAAGTCAAGAAGAGAAGGCAATTAGGATAGGTATGCGTGCTTCGAGACAGTTTGAGCTTGAATTTTCTGTTTACCTGCGGATCCCAAACCTCAGTGTGCTTCTAAGTTCCCCAAATTTATAAATAGGTCCCCAAATATTTCGTCCTACAAACTCTCCAGTTGAGAGCAAGTTACTCACGAAGAAAGAGAGGAAGTAAAAATAATATAGGTCACATACAGTATAATTCATATTTTTTTTCATTTTCTTTATTTCCGAAGTATGTTTGTTTTGATCAATGTAATTCTAGTCTTGGTTGGAACAGAAGTGCTCAAGTAGATTCATACTTTTCTTTCACTTTTTTACTTTTATATTAATTCTATAGCATGTTTGTTCATATCATTGAATCTTTTCTTGGCTAGATTACAATGATCCAGGTACATTTCATTTTTTTTTTTTCATACCATTTGTATAGTATGTTTGTTTTGATCAGTGTGAGTCTTTTAGCGTTTCTAAATACGAAGGTTGAAAACGACTTCTCCATCATCAAATTGGAGAAAGATGATTTCCGCTCCCATGTGACGAGAGTTTCCTTGGCGGGCATTATGAATACCAAGCAATTCAAAATGCTTAAAATGATTATAGCTAAGACATCCGACACACTTAAAACGATTATAGCTAAGTCATCCGACGAAAAACAATGAAATCACAATGTTAATGCTAAAAATGGCAAAGTTTAAGAGAAAATTCACCTAAACCTGCAACTTAGAATTTGCCAGATTTTAAAAGTCTTGAAAGAGGAACATATTACTTGATGGGACCCCAAGTAAACTCAACAAACTTGATAGAACCCAACCGGTTTCATTTTGCACAATGGGACCACCTCGACGAAGATGTTCCAATACAATCTAGGGTTGTTGAGGGTAGGAAGCTCTCGAGTGGTTTAGGATGCAATAATGGCAAGATCCTATCCTATAGGAGTGCCCTTAGTTTTCTGAGACACCCTGAGAGAGTGATTTGGCCCGATAGTGGTAGACACTCTCAACACTATACCAAAAATAATCAGATTATAAGGATTTTTATTTGAACATGGTTGAGGGTGAGTTGGATTCTGCAAAGTGGTACCATTGTGTAAAATGAAACATGTTGGATACCGTCAAGTAATGTGAGTTTCGTGGGATTCATGAAGTAATTATCTCCATGAAATAGATGACGTGAACTGTGCGTGCTATTGACATGCTTAACACAATACAAGCCAATTTTCACATGCGTTTATTTGATTGATATATTACTTAGTGTATATACATCTGTACATGGCGACACGGAAATTTTGCTCATATCGAATTTCTTTGACATGTAACTACGTTCGAAAACGTGAGAATGAATTAGAATATGTCAATGAGTTTCGCTTTTGTTGTCTCGACTGGACAGAATGCACAGAACGTTGAATTTAAAGAAAGGAGTCTGCCTGATCACGGAGAGTGATTTGTCAGTAATATTATATGAGAAAGAAGAAAGAGAAGGTTTCGATCGTGAAGACTAAATCAAGATTCCCTGAGCTTTCTTCGTGAGAGCGGAGAGTTTTTTAGTCGAGTGATGAAATGTATAGAATAGATTAAAGATATGGAAGATTCAGTTCACCACAATGGCATGGCAGGTTCATGCGCACGAAATGTACATACACAGGAGTAGTGGTCTAGCCGAAGTACAGGCCAGGCAGGAAGTCTGTACAGGAGTGGAGGAAGAAGGCCCCACTGCATTATACGAAGTTGGTTCGGTCAGGGTCTCGGTTCCTGCGTCTTCCAAAAAGATCTTCTGTTTATCGCACATCTGGCCTCCAAAAGCATCTCCGTCATTTCAGACGATAGGACATTTCTCAGAGCTGACATCCATGTGGAGCTCAAAGTATCTCTCGTCACTTGCATCCCCATTTTAAGCTTTTGCTCTGCATGTCGACGGGCTAAAGGATAGAATGACCGGTCGGATGGAATTCTGTGTTTCGATGGATCTCTGCCATCTCTAAAAAAATCCATCTGCATGTGGTCCACGTTTTACCCGCATCATGAATCACACTTTTCCCATTTCACATTTGCACATTTCTACCGCGTGCTTGCTGGTTGTTCCAACTTTTCTTCTTTTTCTTTTATTTGTATGAGAGCAATGGAGAGTGAAGGTCTAATGACGATCATTTTCGCACTTGTTGTGAACTGACTACGCTCGATTTGACAACCATTGTCCCCTTTCCTTATTTGGATTGAGGTGAAAATGAATAAAACTCTCTGCCACAATAGTCGGTAATGAAACTGAAGCCTTGAGTTGCCGTGAGCCAGACATATCCTGCAGTACGAAATGGAGACGCACCGGATGAAAGCTCGAGAGAACAAACGATCCCCGGTAGAACTAATCTCTCTGGAAAAAATCACTATTTCTCAGACCGCGCATACGATGTCTCATTTGTGAAGATAGTAAATAGTGTGAAAGCATGAATGGTACAACAATCATCACCAACAAGAGCTATCTTATTCTCAACGGTGGAGGCTGAAGCAATTTGTAATGCATGAGATAACGCGAGGTCTAGAACAACAATCACCAATCAAAGCTATCTCCCTCAGTGATACTGAAATGCATTAAATATTGGATGTCATAAGATAAGGATTCATTGACGGTCACAAAATGATCAAATGTAGAGAAATGTAACTTTGAGTTTCCAAAATATATGTGCATGACATGCCAGAGATTAAAATATAAGAAAAAACACCATTTGAGTTGTATATATTGCTCGCATAGGTGAAGCCAGATGGAAGTAGTTAGCGTCCCTAAACTTGGCCGAGACTGTCGATCTGCAATCGGGCAGGGCATTCTGCATCTGAAAAGGTGCCACACCTGGTGAGTTGTTTAAATCAAATCTGCACTGAGTCGAATCCTGGGTGCTCGTCGTAGATGTGGCGACGTATGCGCCAGGGTAGTAAAGACAAGGATGGGATATTCTGCCTGTGCCTAGAAGTTCCAGGTTACGGCAGACGAGTCCACGAACGAGGGCCGAGCAGAAGAGTTGGTACAAAGTGTACTTGACATGGCGTCAAGTCATCACTCTGGGGGGTTGGGGCTGGGCTTATATAAACTCTGTAAAGGACACCTTGGGATTCGGAGAATTTATTTTCTTTCCCACTTTCAGGATATAGCAGGAGGGGTTCCTCTGGGACGTCGAAGAAGGTGGAGGAGCTGACCTTCAGCCCCACTGTAGATGGCAGCTGCCATTGTGGCGGATCATGAGTTGGACATTCCGTTTGCCAAGAGAAGATCACGACAAGCACAAGGTGTCCGCATTCTTCTAGTTTGGTGGGTGTCAGTTTCGGGAGCCTCATGCTCTGATTGGTCCATAATCAGGCTGGCCTAGACCTCCCATTCTGCTTGCCTTGAGCTCAAGGGGTGCAAATGTGCCCTGTGACAGGTCCTTTAGCGGATGTGAACGGAATCTTGGAAAACGAAGGAAATATGCCAGAATGAATTGATGCCGATGCTTCCAGTTGGGTACCCACTGTTGCCACAGTCGCCCACAGTAGCAGCAGCTCACGAAAGAGATTTATAATGGATTGGTTTTCTACGGAGTTTTCTGCTATATTGTCCACGAGTACCAAGCTGGCTGCCGCCATCGTGAAAAGGTGAATGCAGGATTGGAAGATAGGACCAAACTTAGAGCAGGTTGGCTCAGACTTTTGCGAGCGATTCCAAGCGAAGGTGATTGGTCAAACGAGGGGAAACTTTCCTACTGAAGGTCGGAGTAAGAGAAGAGTTCCTATGAAAGGTGCACTGCCGATCTGGCCCCACTCTGATTTGGATGAAGTCATTCGGAGAGGTATGACATATGCAGAGTAATCAGTCACTATGGTGCTATGTTCAGAGGACTTCGTCCAAAAGCCTGTACAAAATTCTTGTCGAGACGAGATCCCTTTCATCCTTCGCTCTAAAATCTGTGGACCCACGCTGGATCGGCGCCGAACGATATTCTCCTGGGGTAGGTTCGTATCTGCCACGAGAGGCATGAGCGCTCTGCTGCCGTAAAAGCGGTTGCAAATAATCTTCGTCCACTTTTGGATGTACTATCTCTGGACTCCTGTCCCGCTATCGCCTTATGTGACAGAATCCGATGTATTGTGGAAGTCGCTTTGTGCATCCGAGCAGCCAGAAGGAAGACTTTGGAGGTGTCTGTTCTCTGCGGATCCAGCTTTGCGCTAATGCATAAGTCCTCAGCTGACCAGCAGTTCGGACAGTGTGTGTTTCTCATCAGCCTGTAAAGTTGCGGTCTTCTCGTCTATATTTGCCAACCGTTCTCAATCTCCGAGACCAGCTCTCTGCTCTCAGTTTTCGTTCGGTGATGTGAGGCTCGGCTCCGCTGTGAACCTCTTGTCGAACCGGCAAAAATTCATTCTTCCGCTCGAATTCAGCTGCTTCATCAGTTGGAACCAGAAATATGAACCTTTTTTATCAGGTCAGGTAAACACTGAATTTGGTGGTCGAAGCAGGTTTGTTATTTGTTCTGATCGTTTTGGTGATAATGAACTGTGAGGAAGATTTCTGGCTCAAAAGTTTGAAGATTTTTCTCTCTGGCTCCAGCAATGCTCGCCCTGGAATGTTCATTCCAGAGCTGCTAAATGGCCAAATATCAATCGGTATCATATATTGCCAACCGATATATGATATATGATTTTCCTGATTCTGTGTGGATCAAGAATTTCATCACTGGTTATTCTTCGTATGTAGCTGTCTCACAGTGTTTCAAATGTGGTTGCTGATAGGAAGTCAGTTTTACCTGTAGATCATGCTCACATCTGAATCCTGATTTTGCAGTCTAGACACCACTGGTTGTATTTCCCTCGTACAATCATGCGACATAATTGTCTCTTGCAAGGCGGATCACGGGGTTGGATCCGTGGTTCGCGTGTTTATATGTTTTCCGAATACAAATTTTACATTGTTATTCTTACTTACTCGGGAGCTAAAGCTTATCTTTAAATGTGGTGGATGCCTGTCCCGGTCAGGATCTCACTGGTAGAAGTACTAGAGATTGCACATAGGTCTTTAGCGCTAGCAAGGTTGACCACTCCAATCTGGAAGTGATTATACCGTCCTTGAGAGATTGTGGTGGCCAAGCTTGCTAGTGCTAAGGTTGTTTTCTCGTGGATGGAGCCGTATTGTAGACAGTGTCAAAGCTTGTAATCAGCTGTAGTCTAGTGAGTGAGAGGCCATCTGGTTCAAACTTTAGAGTTCTGCTGTGTTTCTCGTTTCTTCTGCTATGATCATGCGTAAAAGCATGAACAGGTCTGAAACCATCATTTGACATCTATTCAGCCTGTAAAATTGGAGGTCTTAGTAAAGATTGAGGGCGAGTACGTGCTTTTAAATCAGTACTTATCTTGCTGAGGAAATGACATGTTGACTTTCTAGACACATGTGACAGTAGTGTATTCAGATTTTAACCACTTTACGTCGAAATGGTGTGAAATCCTTCTACGAATATAAGCAGTATAGCATTCAGAACTTCTACAATACTGAGCAATATCCGCTGGCGCTAGCAAACTTGACTACCTCAATCAGTAGCCTCTTTACGCCTTCAACCGATTGTGGTTGCCAAGCTTGCTAGTGCCAGAGGATTTCTCTCAGCCATGAGTAACTCAAATGTACAGCTCAGTCTAGTCATTTCACCGTGAAGGATTGTTGTTGGTCATTTACACTCCTAGCTACATCGAAGACCCTGCATTACTTGTCATCTCTTGTAATGCACAGGGCGCACTTTTCAGCCCCGTCTAGATATATCAGGTTAATGAACGTAGTCCGTTCCTGCTAGGTACTTGAGAATCGGTATGATTCTGGATGTGAGAAGAGCCTGTTACCTATACATGCGCTTACTTGTGGAAGGGAAGCATGAAAGTCAATGGACCGTGTTCATTTGTAAGACTCCAACTGTGTTTGTAAATTAGCACAAGCTGTAGTCGAAAATTTTGATATCTGCACTAGATGACCTCGATCAACATATGAAGGCCGTCTTTCGTATTCGAATTGGTCCGGGGTTTCTTACATGGATGGGATGGTCAAGCATGGTAATGCAGATGGAGTTGACTAAGATTACGAAGCGGTTCTGAGAGCGCTTAGTACTCTCGGTCCACTGAGCATTGCAATTGCCAAGCATGCAAGTGGTGCGGGAATCAGGCATGCTTTGAGGTAATGTCAGGGATTCTCCACCCTACACTGTTCCTTCATCTTACTGAAGGAGAAACATGAGTCCCCTTCTTATATTGTAATCCAATAAGGCGGCCATCTGACTATGGTCTTGCCGGACAAGTCTTGGGAACTTATTACTGGCATCTTCAAGTTTAGCAGAAGATGATTCAAAGAGATTCGAGTTGATAGATGTGGAGTAATCAGCTCAAATCGTTCAACTTCGTCGTCTGCGCTGATTGTTGTCGACTGGATCTGCCGGGCTGTCTTGGATGCCTATTCGCTTGAAGGTCAGTCTCGGACTGAAGAGATACAGAAGAATTTCATGGAGCTGTTGATGCCGCAGGAGCAATGGGCACAGATGAGGAACTGCAGGACTCATAACACTCGAAGCCCCCAAGCTTCCTTTTTATTATATTCCATTTTATTACAAGTTTTCTAGTTTTTTAAATTGAACAGAGTTGCAGTTTCCTACTATTCTCGATAATCTTCTTCTGAGAGGAGCTTGAGATTTCCGTTGTTTTTAAATTCCTGCTCCTTTAGCGTGAAGGATAGCTTACCAACTATTTTTCCGGCAGATCTGAATAAAAAACGTAATACAATGCGCGCTGCTTTTTTAGGGAAAACCTGATGATGATCCTGGTCGTGTACTGCCTCAGTTAATCTGTACCATACATGGACTTTGGAATTCGGTACAAGAATGACGCAGAGTCTACTGCAGCAAGTTCCCTTGCTCCTGCAAGTAGGGAATAGTGCACATGTGAGAACCTTTTCTTGTGGTTCTGCAAGGCTGTCGGAGAAACACGGACACTTGGCGCAGAGAAGTCCGATGCGAAGGTATCATGAAAGCGGTGGTCGCCTGTCTGTTTCCAAAAGTCGTTGTAGATAGACATGAAGGTAAGTCCCGAGTCTACCACACGCCGATGTTGATAGTGTCATCCCAAGCGGACAATTACACATTCCACGAGAACTAATAACCTTCTAATTCGTCACTGGCGAATTTTGTTCGGTGCATGCATTTAGCCGTGTTCTAAAACGATAAGGCCTGCTGTGTCTTCATCGATCATGTTCTCACTAAGTGGGACTTCTGGAGAAGGTCAACTTTGGCGCGGTCAGGTTCTCATCAAACTCCAAAATGTGACCGTGCCAGCCATGCTAAACGCTGTAGGTCGTCTACTCTATGTTCTAGAACATACAGGTCAACACACCTAAGAACCAAGATATGTGTGCTAAAACCCACATGTCTGATGTCTTGGCAGCTTTCTTGACCCACAATATCCAGGTAGCTCAGGATGATTGCCTTCCTGTCACCTGCCCAGATTTCCTGAAATTTTGAAGCCTTCTGACTTACTCTCTTCGGGAAAACTAGAACGCCATTTGTGTTTTAGGAAAAAAAGTTAGTACACTTTCTCGACATGAAATCAGGAGCTGCAACAGTACCGTGTGCAGATTACAATAACCAAGCTTGACTCATTCGTCCCCTATCAATTCGAGAAGGAAACAGAAACAAGACAAGTGTAGGATAAGCTGGCTGATGAACTTGTGGCAGTACAGTACCTGAATTTTCCGTATCAGAGAGATTGAATTGTTTCCTCTTGTATTCTTCGATCCAGCTCACGACAGAATCCTAGGCTTGGATGCAGTCGTGATTGAATCTTTGTGTAGATGGTTTTTCGATATGAACGCCAGTCTCACAACTTGCAACAACTACTCATAACACTGACTGCAGGCAGCCACTACTGCAGTATTAAATAAACCACTGATTACATTAGATACTTGTTACCGTTGTGAGTCAACTTCCCTTGAAGCTTGCACCTATCTCCATCTTTATACATACCATCATCGAATCTTTTGGCTCCTCTTCCTTGTTGGATTCTACCTGCCAAGACGGTATATTTTATTGTTACGTCAGCATTCTACGCCCTGCCCCCTGCGGTAGGATTTCGTTAAACTCTCGTTTTGTATAACACGGCATAGCTCGCATTTGGTCTTTTGCGGAATATGAACGGTACAGTATTAGGTGGCGCATTTACCACAGATTCTTCAAGTGTAATATCTCGCCGTACCAGAGCCTTCCAGTATAGGTCTGTGGCATATAACCATTCAACTACGACACGTTCAGTTTTATGGTTAATAGTAGTTCATGTAAAAGAAGTTCTGTTATAATTGACTGGCCATGAAATATGTGAATATTGTTTCATGCACTATTTTTCCATTCCCAGCCCACTCTACTCGCAAACATGCGTTTGAGCTTGAGTTTCATTTATCACCTTGCCTGAATGCTATACTTTTCAAAAGGTCAATTATATTTTTGTTGGTAAATCGTAAATTGAAACCCCGGAAAAGTAATCCCATTCTTTTGAAACAGTCAAAGAGAATAGAATGCAATTTTTTTCTCGAATACATGCGGTGAAGTAAATAAAGAACATAATCATGACAATAAAATAGGAATGTTCGTTATCCTGCAATACATTAGCTTCTCTCTCAACAAGGATACCGAAGATAACTTTTTAAGCCATTAACATCCACCGAAACATGAGACAATAGATTTATGCAGCTAGCGAGGTTCTGTACTTTTTAGATTTGAACATGCATGGGCTTCTTTGAAAGATTGACACTAATATAACTTAATGTTCATTGCATAGAGTATTCACGGTTGCTACTTCTGTGGATTATATCGTTACTTGAATATTCCAGAAATATTACTTGAATGTGTGAATAATCTACAATTTATTTGAAATTATTATCAACTGAAAAATACAAATCATGCATTTTAGTGTGTTTGGTTCTCCGTATATTTTCTACATCAGTTTTGATGTACATTCCAAATTGGAGTAAGCATCTCCATAATTTCAATTCTAATATAGATTGTGTAAAATTTTCATATGTATAATGAAAAGTGAGATTAGATTTAAATATTGAATAAAGAAACCGATTTTATTCTTAATCAATTATATAATCTGATCCTTGCTGAAATTCGATCAAAAAGTTAAAAGCTCGTTTCTCAAACCTTTTTCATTAACGCTTTTCCAGCTATAATGTTCCACATAAACTTCTTAAAATTCAGGTCTCCACTCAAAAGATTTAAGATTTTGAAATGCAAAATGATACTTATTTGTCACTAGCATTTGATTTTTACAAACACATTTTCATGTTCAACACTAGTTTCAAATTTAAATATTATAGCAATTGAGTTCAAGAGAAGTCACTTGATGATGATGTATCAACAATCCATACATTTGCAATCAAAATGAAAACATTTGATGTAATTCTTCACATATCTAACATTTGTGAACAGGACAAAATATGATGACTAGAATATTATGGCTTCAAAAGATTGAAATGATTTATAGTGAGAGAACACATGTTGATATGTAGAAGGAGTTAAACTCATCTACATGAGACTTTAGCCTAAAGTTGATGGAGTATTTGAACAATGAAGATTGCACATTTGATGTTAAAAAAAATCCAATTTTGATGAAAATCAAAACATCTAAAACAAATCTTAAGGTTTTATGAATATTCTGATTTAAAAATTATTAAAATAGAAAATAAATCTAGAGTTCATGATGATAATAGAATGATGAAATTTTTAAATTATCTTTAGTTTGCTAAAACTAAGATAAAAAAAATTCAAGAAGGAGATAAAATTGACTTGTAATGAACTATCACTTGTTATTATTTCAAGAATCTGTGTGCTTAATGTGAGAGGTTTGACTTTGTTAGTTGAGTGAGTGATGTTAGCCATCTATGTGCTTCTTTGATAAAGAATGAAAGTAGTAATAAGTAATGAAAATCCATTTGTTTTTTTATTGTGTATTCGAAGTACACATTGAAAATGTTAGTAAGAGAAATTGATGTGTTTTAAAAGTTTAGATCAAACTTGTTAGTAAATGGTAAATGATAATAGATCTTGAACGGGGAACCAAAGGGTCAAAAGTCTGAAAAACACAATACAAGTGAAAACCACAAACAAGAGAAAATATCTCAAAGGTGAATGCCTAGTAGAGAGCTCCACATGAACCATCCTTGATTCTTCCATATTAATCAAAATTGGTAACAAAAAAACACATCAACAATCCATATGTTTTGCAAGTATATATCAAAAGTGTTTGTAAATAACTCCATATGAGCAGGCTTCTCTATATAGGGTGAATTTCTTATGTTCCATATCTCGTCAAAATAAGGAACATTTTCAAAACAAAATACGGAACATACGGAACATGACATAAATCTGTCATGTTTTCTTTAATAAACTTTGAATTTGACAACATTGTAATATACCTTCAAGAGAATTGGGAGTTATATTGGACCTATGAATATCTTTCTCCCATTTCAAAACTCAGAAATCAATCCTGTCCATTTACTAATATTGTTGCAGTCTTAGGAAATGGACAAGCCAATACTCTTATAAATTCCTTAAGTCGAGGAAATCTGTTCCTAATATTCGGAGTA